TCGAGACCCGCCTGGGCAGGCGAGACTTCATCTCTACAATAAATCAAAAAATCAGCTGGGTATGGTAGTGTGCGCCTGTAATTCTGGCTACTCGGAAGGCTGAGGCAGAAGGATCACCGGAGCCCAGCAGGTCGAGGCTGCAGTGGCCAGGAACGGCCACTGCACTCCAGTCTGGGCGACAGAGTGAGACTCCAACTCAAAAAAAAAAAGAAATATTCCAGAACTATCCATTAGATGCAGTGGCACGCACCTGTATTTCTAACTACTTAGAAGGCTAAGGCAGGAGGATCACCCTGGAGTTCAAGACTGTAGCACACTATGATGAGGCCTGTGAATAAATCCTGCGCTCCAGTCTGAACAATATAGTGAGACCCTGTCTCCAAGAAAAGGAAAGCAAAAAACAAAAAGATTCCAGAGCCAAACATTGTTGAAAGAAATTAAAGACTTAAATAAATGGAAAGATATCCTTTGTTCATGGATTGGAAGACTTAATGTTGTTAAGATGACCCTATTCCCAAAGTTGATCTACAGATTTAATATAATTCCCCTGTCAAAATCCAACTGTCTTTTTTGCAGAAATGAACAAGCTAATCTTTAAATTTATATGGAAATGCAAGCAACAAAACAATCTTGAAAAAATAAAAATCTTGAAAAAATAAAAAGTTGAAGAGCTCACACTGACTACAAAGCTACAGTAATCAAAAGTATACAAAATGGCCTATGGAAGGATACTTAAGTCAATGTAATAGTACTGAAAGTCCAGAAATAAACTCTCACATTACAGTCAACTGATTTTCAACAAGGGTGCCATGGTCATTTGATGATAAAAGAATAATCTACAACAAATGGTGTTAGACAACTGGATAGTCACATGCAAAGTAATAGGGTTGGACCCTCTACCTCACAGCATACACAAAAATTGACTTAAAATGGACAAACAGCTAATATAAGGGCTTAAACTATAAAACTCTAGAAGGAAACAGAGATATAAATTTCATGACCTTGGGTTAGGCATGACTTAAAAAGCATAAGAAACAAAAGAATGAAGAGATAAACTACACATCATAAAAGTTAAAAAAAAAGCTTTGCGGACGCCGCCGCCTTGAGCCTTTTCCCTTCAGCCATGGTCAACCCCAATGTGCTCTTCGACATGGCCATCGACGGCGAGCCCTTGGGCCGCGTCTCCTTCGAGCTGTTTGCAGACAAAGTTCCAAAGACAGCAGAAAACTTTCGTGCTCTGAACACTGGAGAGAAAGGATTTGGTTATAACGGTTCCTGCTTTCACAGAATTATTCCAGGGTTTATGTGCCAGGGTGGTGACTTTACACACCATAATGGCACTGGCGGCAAGTCCATCTATGGGGAGAAATTTGATGATGAGAACTTCATCTTGAAGCATCTTGAAGCCCGGCATCTTGTCCATGGCAAATGCTGGACCCAACACAAACGGTTCCCAGTTTTTCATCTGCACTAAGACTGAATGGTTGGATGGCAAGCATGTGGTTTTTGGCAAGGTGAAAGAGGTCATGAATGTTGTACAAGCCATGGAGGGCTTTGGGTCCAAGAATGGCAAGACCAGCAAGAAGATCACCATTGCTGACGGTGTACAACTCTAATAAATTTGTTTTATTTTAAATTGCCAGATCATTCCTTCTGTAGCTCAGGAGAGCACCCCCTCCATCCCGTTTGCTCACAGTATCCCTATAATCTTTGTGCTCTCGCTACGATTCTTTGGGTTCCATATTTTCCTTATTCCCTTCCACGTCTACTTGGATTGCAGAGAAATAAAAACTAAATAACAAAAAAAAAAGTTAAAAAAAAAAATTAGTGCATTAAAGGATATTACCAAGAAAATCCACAGGATGGGACTAGCATCCAGAATATATAAAGTCCTTTTACAAGCCGGGCTCAGTGGCTCAGCCTGTAATCCCGCACTTTGGGAGGCTGAGGTGAGTGGACTGCCTGACCCGCGGGTTTGAGACCTGCCTGGGCAACTTGGCGAGACCTCATCTCTACAATAAATCAAAAAATAAGCCGGGCGTGGTACAGCACGCCTATAGTTCCAGCTACTTGGAAGGCTGAGGCGGAAGGATCGCTGGAGCCCAGCAGGTCGAGGTTGCTGTGGCCGGGAGCGGCCACTGCACTCCAGTCTGGGTGACAGAGTTAGATTTCAACTCAAAAAAATAAATAAATAAACAAAAAAATAAAGTCCTTTTACAACTCAACAATTTAAAAACCTAACAACTCAATGAAAAAGTGGACAAGGAATTTAAATATACATGTCCCAAAGAAATACAAATAGCCAATAAGCACATGAAAAGATGCTCAATATCAACATCATTTGTCATCAGAGAAATGTAAGTCAAAAGAACAATGAAATACCACTCCACACCCAGCAAGAGAGCTCTAATCAAAAAGAGAGATAATACCTAGTACTGGCAAGAAAACAGAGAATTTGGAGCCCACATTCACAGCCAGTGGGAATGTAAAATGGTGCAGCAGCTTTAGAAACAGGCAGCTTTTACAAGAGTTAAGAGTTACAAAATGACCTAACAATTCTACCTCTAAGAATTCAGTTCTTCTTAGAGAACTGAAAACATATATCCTTACTGTTCACGCAAAAATCTGTACACAGATGTTCATAGCAGCATTACGCAATAACAATCAAAAAGAGGAAACAAGTCATACGTCTGTCAATCAATGAATGAGAAACAAAATGTGGTATATCCATACATAAAAGGAACATAGTAGTAATGCATGCTCCCACATAGATAAACCTTGAAAACATTATGCTAAGTGAAAGAAGCCAAATACAAAACACAAATTATATGATTCCATGTATATGAAATGTCCAGAATAAGGAAATCCAGACAGAAAGTAGTCTGTGGCTACCAGAGGGTTGGGGTAGACAGGATGGGAATGGCGAGTGTTGAGGTGATTAAAACATTCTGGAATTAGATAATGGTGATAGTTTCACAACACTGTGAATATGCTAAAAACAACTAAATTATGCACTTTAAAATGGTGACAGCTTATTTTAGCATTTTTCTCAAGCTAGAAAAAAAAAGAAAAGAAAAACTGCAGAACGAGTATGTAGCCAAGCCAGGATAAGAAACCAGGAGTCCAGCTCCAAAGTCTAACTCCGCAGCTATGCTGCATAGCCTGCAAGGAGGAAAGGATCAATCTGATTGGGGAGAGGGGTATGGTGGCACGGAAAGCACTTGGGCATGGTTATGAAGCTTGGGACAACTTTGCCAGGTGAAGAAGTGAGGCTCAGGCCTGCTCCAAACAGAAATGGCACATGCAAAGCTACAGAGTGCTGTCCGGGTGATTTTTGGCTAGCAGGACTGAAGTAGATACTGGTAGAAAATGAAGCCAGAGGTGCTGGCAGGGCCTGTTCCTAGAGTATCTTCTATGCCATACAAAGAAGTTCCCATTTTAAGTAAGGTAGAATTTATAGCCAACTATAAAATCAACTAAAATAAGAGATTCAACAGGTGACTGAGATTTTAAAGCAAATTTTTAAAAACCTTATTCCATGCCGAGGGAAAAATATTAAACTCCATGGAGCTATTTATAATGCTTGTCAATTCACCACAATTCATTTTGGGTCTGTACGCCCACACAGTACCCCTCAGGAGCTTTGCCAATTATCACTTCTCTCATATGTAAATCCTAAAATTCTCATCTCAAACATCAGTTTCCATAAAGCATCAAGCATCATTTTTCTATAAAAATATCTTTCACAGCAGTGAGCAATAGTAAAGTCTACTTCCAAGGCTTTGTTGATTTACACAATATTATAAAGTACCCCAAACACTTTAGAAAAATAGACCAGGGTCTACTTTATTCTTGTCTTGCTGTCTGTAGGGCTTCCTACCGATACATGAACAGGAAATCTAAACTAGTTCTCCGTTTAAATAAGCAAGAATCAACATACAAGGCCTTAAACATACCAACATGGCCTTGAATCAATACTCCAGAGTACAGGTTCTTCATCTTACCACCTTTAGCCACACACTGAAGTTGCTGGCTTCTCACTACACAAAAACAACATTTTAAGCATGAAATAATGCCTGAAGATTAAAACATTAAGAGTAATGGTAATTGTAACTATAACAAACAGAAATAACAAAAACAGTAACATTTCATAACAGTTACAACGCATCAGGCATGCTTCTATTTGCTTTACATATAACTCTCTTGACATTCCTGTATCTGTACAAAACAAATACTATCATTATCCTCATTTTACACATAGGGAAACTGAGGTATAGAAAGGCTACGTATCTTGTCAAGGTTCACAGAGCTACTAAGGTAGAGTGGAAATCTGAACCCATCTACACGCACAGAGCCTGAGCCCTCTACCACTATGTTCTATGCATCTCCTCTTTCAAATGTCCTCACATTTTTCAATAATAAAAAGCTTAAACACTCATTTACACTTATAATATTTTTAAAAGCTATGATACAATCCTACAAACTCAGACCTATTTAGAATTCAAATAGGCCAAATACTCTTGCAGTCCCCTCCCTCCAAAAATCATTTATTTTGTCCTATCAATCTTAAAACAATCATGTATAAGATTGTGCTAAATGCTTGGTGTAATAAAAGTCATTACCGTGCTAAATGCTTGGTGTGATAAAAGTCATTACAAATATTAACAGTCTATAAAGAATCACGCCTGTAATCCCAGACTTGGGGGGGGGAGGTGAGAGGAATGCCTGAGTCCAGGGGTTCGAGACGAGCCTGGGCAACTTGGCGAGACCTTATCACTACAATAAATCAAAAAAATTAGCTGGGCATGGTGGCGCATACCTGTAGTTCCAGCTACATGGAAGACTCAGGCGGAAGGATCGCAGGTTGAGGTTGCAGTGGCCGTTGAGTGTGCCACTGCACTCCAGCAGGGGTAACAGAGGGAGACTTCAACTCAAAAGAAAGTCTATAAAGAAGATCAAAATTTTTTTTTGCTATATTTCACTGTGGTTTATGAGGTTAAGTTAGATACTGGGTAATTTAAGCATTCAAGAACAGCTCAGGATATAGCCCTTGTCTTTAATTTTACTCTTAATGATGAAGGCCGCCTATACTGATTCACAGACCAACTAAATCACTCTTTTGGGGTGGTGATGCCCCAAAAGTCCCACAGGCAATTCTAATCTGCAGCCAATATTAAGAATCACTGCTTTTACGCTGGCCCTGTTTTCCCTAACTAACTAAAATGACAAAACTGCAAATACAGAATTCATTTCAAAAGCACAGTTAATTAATCAATCGTGCCACACAGTACTCTATTTATTGATGTCAATATAGGGAATGCTGGATAAGTACACTCTGGTGATTCGTCTTCCAAATCTACCCTAGAAAAACATTCTCGTGTCCTAGGAGAATCACACAAAGATGTTCATCATATCAGCAAATAATGAATAACAACCCAACTGTTAAATGAACTATAGCACATTCCTAATACACATTTTAAAAGGATGAGGTATATCCACGTGTACTGACAGGAAAAGAGATCCAAAACATAACTCTTACCAAAAAAAATAAAAGAAAAAAAAAGAAAATCACAGCTTGCAGAACACACAATATACTACTTTTGCTATAGACATGCATTTCACAGGAGCATATATGTGTGTATATAAATAAGAAATAAAGTTGAAGAAGAATATATTCCAAAATAATTTTAAAAGATTTTCCTTATTTCTAGGGATGGGATGTAAACTGAGAAAAGACAGACAGGAAGATTTTACCTTTATCTGCACTTTACTTTTTTACAGGTAGTATCTGTGTAATTATTTTTAAAATAATGTTAAGTCTTACCAGAGTACGCCCCACTTAAAACACACGCCTTTTGTAGTTACATGGATTTCAGACGGGCACTATGCAAAAAGACTGCCTTCACACCGTTATAAATAGCCTACAAAATGCCAATTTTCACTTTGAAACAAAATTCACAGTTTAATCAAGGTCAAAGCAATGTTCTGTTGGGATTCTGAGAGTGTTATGTTAAAAAAAAAAAAAAAAGACCAACTAAATTCTTGACACTGTTCTATCATTTTTAAAAGGGAGCCTTATGGAGGTTATACAATTGGCATTCTAAAAAGACTATCTATAAAAACTTGCTTTAGCCTGTCCCTTCTAATTAGATCCATAGCTGGCTCTTACAACACAGCAAAATTACTAAAATAAATCAGTGAACTAAAAAAACTGTCTAAAAATATAAAAATTATTAATTAAGCAGTCCAAAAAATATCAAGTCTCTACTATGAAGTGAATGGTATCCTAATGAAAGATATGCTACTGCTGTAGAAACAGAGAATCACATCACTAAGAATGGAGGATAAAAACTTAAATCAGGCTCACACCTGAAATCCCAGCACTTTGGGAGGTTGAGACAGGAGACTCATTTGAGGCCAGGAGTTCAAGACCAGCCTGGACAACAAAGCAAAACCCAACTACACAAAAAATAAAAAATTAACCAGGGTGGTGGAGCATGCCTATAGTCCCAGTTACTCGGAAGGCTGAGGCAGGAGGATCGCCCAGGAGCTCAAGGCTGCAGTCTGCAGAGCTATGATCCTGACACTGCACTCCAGCCTGGGTGGCAGAGTGATA